GATTTGAAGTTCGCAACAAACAAAAGAACTGAAGGAGTCAGACATGTGTTAAAGTTCTATGTGCGCGCTGACAAGTAGGCGTGACCGTCGGGGCAGGGTTCGCGGTGGTGTCTGGCGTGATTTGGTTGGTGAACTGCCTGGTCTAAGAAGAGTGGTGAATTTGGTTTGAAAAGTGGTGAATTTGCTTTGAAAAGTGGTGAATTTGCTTTGAAAAGTGGTGAATTTAAAGTGAAAATGGTATATATAGAGTATGATAACGTGTACTGTCAGCACCTGCGCCATCAGTCTTTTCCCTTCTACTACTCTGGCTGCAGCATGGGAAAAACAGAGGCCAAGGTGAAGGGTGTTAATGGTGACCATGACTCCAGCGCCCAACGCTTATGAAGCCAGTAGGTGAAATCCACAATTGATTTTGATCAACGCAGCTGCGAGATCTGAAGCAAATGGCCGACCAGAGGGAAAATTTTCTTCATGCAGTCTACTTTCAATATGATAGTACCAGACCAGTACCTTACCGGCAAGGTCAGATCAGACTTTTTGCAATACAGCTGGATGACTTTCCCTCAGCGGTTGAGTAGGTCAGAAGATGCTTCTTGCACTACTATTGATTATAAACATACCATTTGTAACCGGACTATACTATCGGACCAGACTAACTCCTTCCAAGGAAGAGACTTGCCTCACGTTTGCGTTGTGAGGCGATATCATCCACAAGGTGCCCCGACGGTCACAAGGAGTTCGTAATAACAATGATGGATAGAACTGGTTCCTTACGTTCCACTACAACCGAAGAGTTTCATCTCAAAAAACCTCCCAAAATACCCCTGCCAGCCTAATTTGTGTTCAATTACCAGTTTAGACAGCCGGCAGGCCAGGTTCTCGAACGGGGACCATCGGCATGCGTGAGACCCAACATTCCCCACGACAAAGGGTCATGTCATGAAAAACGAATCGGGAAACATAGCGAAGTTATCAAACAGGTGGTGCTCCTCACCATCAGTACACAGCTTGCTGAACCTCCGCACGAGTCAACCAGCTATAGAGCCGTCTCAGGCTGTTTTGAATTCTGTACAGTCTTGTTCGATGCGCATGATAGGGCGAGTCAGGGGGACAGAGTTTGGTGCGACGCAAGTACCAATTGTGGTCGCCTGCTCGCTTCAACAAATGGTGGAGAAGGGGCTGGCGCCGCTCCAAATCCCGCCCCCGCCCTCAGCACGCCCCATCATCTGCTGCGAACAAGGCTGTATTTACTGTGGACCCTCTTATTTTCGACGATAACAATAGAAGTATTCACCTTTTTGCCAATGCAAGCGCAGCAGAGGAGGGACTGCTCTTGCATATAGAGCAGGGTATGTCCTGCCGGGGAGAAATTTTCTAAACACGACCTCTTCATTCTCAACTCTCATACCACCGCCTCCCTTCTCCCCCACTTCCCATCCCACCTACCGTCTAAATTATTCTATTCTCCTAACTCTTCTCCGAAGCTTTTCTCATGAACTGTCCAGCTTTTCCCAAAAGTGAAGAATTGTGAGGGAGGGATGGGTGGAGGGTAGATAGCATACATGGAGGAAAAAGAGAGAAAAGTCAACATGAGGAAACATTTTTCCAAAAGCAAATACGACTCCCTTCCTCCCAACGACCATATACGACCCCTTCGTTAGGAAAACAAAGTACGCGTGCCCAGATGAGATGGAACCTCAAGCTTATTCACCTCGAACTCATCCATGTACATGAGATCTCGCGGCCCTGTGCGGTATGAAGATTGGTAGTGCCCCGAGTAAAATGCCTTTCCGCTCTCTCTCCCCTCCCCTCTCAACTATCGTAGTACTGTGCTCCGCGGGGCCTCATTGGACTCTGAACGTGAAAACATGGAGCAGCATCAAAGGTTTTTTTGTAAAAGACTCCAGATTTAAGAAACTCGAAGGTTCTCGCAAAACTATTTCTTTCTTCGAATATTTCTGTGTATTTTGTATTTTTTCCTGTTTCCGAATATTATACTCAACCTCGTAAGCTATAAAAACGATTACGTCAGGAAGAAAGCTATTGAAGTTGAAAGCATAAAAGCTCGCATGTAATTTTCAATTTTGATTTTCTAGCCCCAACTAAAAGCACATCAACTAATACGGCCAAAGCATTTTGTAGATGTGACGCCTTTAAACTGTCTGTAATCCGAAGCATGAGTAGAACACATGGCGCATACTCAGGCGAGAACAGCTGGCAATAGGACGACTGGTCTCGTATGAGTGTGCGCCGTTCCTTCTGCTCACGCTTAGAATTATAGTCATTCGAAAGGAAAGCAAGCACCGAGGTATCGGCAGCAATCAAGCGTGTCCTCATAGTGAGTATAAGAAACTGCGTTGTTCGGTGCCCTCTTACCCTGACCCCCTCCCCAGCGACCAAATACGATCCCCAATGGGACCCTCCATACAATGATGTGCCCCATGAGGTACCTAGTTGCTGAATTGATAGTTATCACATTACGCCCTACCTCTTTGGTGCGATACGCGGCAGAAGATGACTGAGATTGGACACGTCCATACGTCGTATGTTCGTCTCTATGGACCTGCGACCCTACAATGTAGGTAAGGTACTGCATCGGAAAAGCTATTTTCGAAGGAGCACATAAGCATTTTTCCGAGATTTCCGCTCGCTAACCTCTCTTCACATGCGACCCATCATACAGCGATCGAATATTATAATTTATTACACTTTACATAAGTACACGATAAAATAAATCCGCTCATAATAGGTGAGAATGAGGAAGCATGCGGTCGAGGAGGCCGCTACTTTCTCATAGCCCTCACAAAGACTATTTCTATGATAGCTATAATCTCGATGACCACATACAGACAAAATGACAGCACGCATATCGTTTAAATACCACTAGAAAAGAGAAACAAGTAAGGAGCTTCCCATTGAGAATTGAAATGAATGAATGATTGAATGAATGCGAGAAAACCAGAGAAGTTTAGGAAATTAATAAAGCCAAGCTGCATGCATGAACTTCCATCCAAGTTCGTTTGAGGAAAATGAGATCAAATCGAGTCAAACGTCCTCGCGACGTCCAAGGCTCGATAAAACATTGCAGCATTATGAAGCTGAGCATGAGTAGAACAAAACAAGAAAATGAAAAGTCAAACTAATACGCCGTTACACTCAAGGAGAGTTTATACAAAAGAAATTTTGCGCGTTTTGGAAACGATAGCGCAGAAACTGAGAGTTAAGCGTGCGCTTGATATCCATAAATCATTATATTGCCAAACCCTTATTATCAGCTATACTACGTCAACAATACATGAAGAGAGAATTGTGTACCATCATAGCATCAAATGAAATGAAATGGCATGCAGTTAGCGAACAACAAAGTGTACAATAAGTCCGCTATCTGTACCCTTCTGGCACGTAGGCATGGCGTTTTCGAGCCAAAGGAATCGAGCGGAACGGTCAAGTCAATCGTAATTTCCCATGCCGTCACGCGCGGCGCGTCGTGCGGTAGTGAGCGCGACTGTTTCAGTGAGGGCTTTCAAAGATTACAGAGCCAATATCCTTAACTTATGACCTCTCCTGTTCAGGTACCAGAGCACATCATAAATTGGGGATTCTGGTTGAGTCCATACAAGACCCCCTTTTTTCGGGGGGGGGGGGGTAGTACGACTCCTCCTGGTTCCCTCCTGCTGTCCAGCGGGGGGGTATACGGTAAGACAATCCACGAAAACCACGAAAAGTGAACAACCTCTCAGAAGGTCAGAAGGGAAATACGACTCCCCTTCCAACAATGAGTGAATACGACCCCCCCCTCACAACGTCCCTGCAACGAGGAAAATCAACAATAAAAAAATTTCCCGGCCCAAATACGGCCCCTTCTCTCTCGCGACCAAATATAGTTGGGGGATCCCCAACAACGGTGTGCACTGTCAGGTATACTATTACAGAGAAAAAGTTGAACATCGTATACGGTCTTCGAATTATCAAGCAATTCGTGCCTGCACGCGGCAAGCGACAATGCCGGCCACACCCCCAGTAGGGCGAATTACGATTGTCTTGTCCCATATCCCCAAATCAAGGCCAATACTTTGTGGCTAACAATCAGAGGATTAGAGACAGTGGAACAGATTGAATAGTAGCTGTAAGCATATGAAAATCACTCGGAACCCGCAACGACTGGTATGTTGTCGATAATAAAAGATGAAGACAACTGAACTAATCATACCATCAACTATTTTTGGCTGTTTTTTGGAGTATTTTCGCCATTTTCAACACCATCCACAAGGTCGAGATAGAGGCTATCCTTGAGAAATCGTCGATAGGAGTCCTTGGCCATTAACTGTTCAATACGACTTTGGGCCAAACTGAAGGTGTCCGTCTTACAACCGCCCTCCATGGCTGCTTTCGTTGCGGCTCGGGTATCGGAATCGAGATTCACCTAAAATCATTCCTAAGTTATACACTTGACTGTGTTATCAATTTCTGTGCCTTCGTCGCAGTGTTAGGAGTCCGATAACCGAACCCCCCCCGGGACAACAACATATTTCCACGATAAATAACAAAATATCACGATCCCACTCATCTGAAAGGCATGCATTTTCCAACGCGCCTTTTTCGACAGGCTAGACTGTGGGACAGGCGCCGCTCAACACATCTAAGGTTCACGAACCATCTACGCCAACTAAGCATTGCACTGGGTTGACTGGTAGCGGACCTTAGGGGAACAATAACAGTACTGCAAATATTGACGCAGGCGCCTCCCGTCCCTCTCAGGTGAACCAATCTATATGCATTCAAATGCTTCAATATTTATGGGTGAAAATCAAATGTGCGGCGCATACCTGAGCGGCTGATCAATTTCCATGCTTCGCGATTTTTTCAACATACATTATATAGCCACGATCTCTGCAAACAATAGGGCGTATGACGGAGGCGTGGATTGAAGCGCTGCAAAGGCGGCCTATCCATCAATGATGCCACCCTGAGTTCGCAACAATTGGTTGGAAGGGCTGTTCTGGCTGCGATCCAACTCATGCCCTATCGTTTGCAGGAATCATGACTATACAAATGCAGTGATGACGTCGACTGACACTGAGTTCGTTCACGTGCAGCCCGCACCCATTTATTCTCCCCGAAAAAGCTCACGCGTCTTGAGATAACGACAGGTCCATAGATAGCACTTGTCAAAGAAAGATGACGCCATATATACGAACTTTGTCCAAATTCAATGAAAAATGACGCCACTTGACTCACCTCTTTGGGAGCGGCAGCTGCGACGTATTCTTTGTAGATCTCATGTGCCCGTTGAATTGTGGCTTTTTTGCCCTCCTTCATCTTTTTGAACTCCTCACATTCAAGCCAGAAATCGACATTTTCATCGGAAAACTCCTTCTTCAGAAATTCACGAAACAACGTGCAGCCATCTGTAAGAAAAAAAAAGAAGAAAATAAAAGTGCTGAGAAAAAGGAAAAAAAGAGAAAACTTACATTTATGATTCAGTAAAGCTTCAAAGCTCATCTTCCACTGTCGTACTTCTTCACGTGTTGGATAGAGGGATGACGTTGATAAAGCCACGTCCAATTTGTTCCGAATCAAACTGAGAGTCTTTGAAATCGGACCACTAAATAGGTATAGAGACTGACTACAATGATACTATATAACAATAGTATAGTACTATATTTTCTGAAGGTTCTATACCTGTGATGATGATGTTCAATAGTATCGTCATTATTAAGTATTTGTAATGATGTTGCAATATCCATCATAACATGGTAAGCTACAGTGAACATTATTCGGGTTAGATGAGTCTATGGGTCGTGCTCGCAACTTTTATTATAGGTGGTGTGTGGTAGTAGCAGCAATAGCAAAAAAGTAGCACTAGTTAGAACAGTAGCAGCCTATCTATTACCAAGGGGAAAAGTCCGAGAGTTATCGGCGGACAACGAAGAAGCGGCCGTCAACGTCACTTTAGAGAGCCCCGCCTCCCAAAATTTCCGGAGTTCTTGTGAATTCTCAGTAAAACGTCTAGCCCAATTTGCCATTCAGTAAATGAAGACTAAGAAAATAGTATTAATATCTGAAAAATTACCGTTTATGAGCAGAGTACACTGATAGTGTACGACAGAAATGAGAACGAGGTGAATTGATCGCGACCGTGATGACTGAACGTACAATGACAAGGTACTGGATAGTTTTCCAGAACCTCTTGCCTCTTCTATCGTGCAGTTAGCCTCTGGCAAATGAGAACCAAGGCACATGAGGTGTCATGAATCGCCTGATTAGATACCACTGACCTAAGCGCCAGAATTACAGCCTTTCATATACCCCACTCAACAACGTGAACGAGCCAGAAGCCCAAAATCCTTCGTCACTTGGTAGACAAACGGCTCATTACCGAGAATCTCAGCTTTGACAAGTCAGCAAATCATTCAAGTGGTTGTTGAGACCGGATTTTTGTTGGCAGACGGTTAGAATGTAACGGTAAACGAATGAAAAAAGTCAGTGAAGTAATTGGTGAACATTTCAGTTATCCCATGACAACCATTGAACACACAATAAACCTTCCTTACCCTCCCCCCCCCCAGGGTTTTGGCTATAGGACACATAATACTTGGGGTATTCTCAAAGAAGAGACATATACATCTGCTGAGAAATGCCTGTATTCTGTGTACAAAAATTTTGAGACCTCCTTTTTGCAATTTTCCGCCTTCAGTAATCGGAGACATTACTAGATGCTAGAAATGGCCACAAGGAAAGCGGAAGATTAAATGATTAGCAGTTAGTTAGATTTAAGAAATTTTGAGACCTCCTTTTTGCAATTTTCCACAAGAACTGGGCACTAAGAGAAGTTTTCCACGGGTAATCGCAGTAGAGAAGAGACAAGGTGAATGAAGTTGCTGTTTTGGTTCGAAGGGAGTCACAGCGGTTCGTTACAGGAACAGCCATTATCCATCATCCCCATGACGTGGCCTTATGCTGGGTAATACAGAGTGATATGAGGGATGGAGGCAACAATGTGGTCACATTATATTGTTATTTACAGCTTTCTTACCACAATGTTTGGCGCACAGAATGTACCATTAAGGCAATTGGCACGATAAACCCCAAGACGTCCGTAGGATCAATATGCCTAACAGGACAGATTCAGAGTTCCTAAGCAAGCGCTGCGTGGTGCCTTCCCCAAGGAACATACCCTTATAGCGCCCTATCAAGCTGCAACATACGACCCGCCCGCCCGCCCACAAATGGACGACCGTACCTGATGCTCGTATTGCTTCATTTGCGAAGTAAAATATGAAGCGAAGGGATTGATATGAAGCGGCTGCGGTGCTGCATGGATATATGAGTACATACGTGCAGCCGTACCTACCGTAGCGGTTACTAGGCACGATGCCAACGGAAAACTCGTCCGAAATTGCTGAGCTGCGCAGAACAAAGGCTTCCTTTGCAGGCTTTTGACCGTTTCATTTCGCTTTTTCATCACTCTCCCACGAAATAGCACTCCTGCTACCGTTTCAGACTAAGAAGCATGTTATTGTGCCTCACGCGTTTGAGACGACATTCGTTACCTGTCATAGTCCTCATCCTCATAATGTGGCCTCATCGTCAGTAATACAGGGATGATGCGACGGAAGGAGTAAATGCGGTCACATTGTCTTGCCATTTACAGTTTTCCTACCACGACGTCTGGTGCACACCATTTACCATTCACATAAGTGGGCGGCAGGGTAGAGCACCGGAATGAGTGGAATGGTGCTCACTCATGTAGCTATGAGCCCATTATCGTTAAGTTTTCCCCAAACCTTTGCCATCGAGCGGAGTGGGATGGGGCGTAGCGCTAGAAAATTCAGCAGTTGAAAAAATCGGCGAATCACGGCTCCTCTGCCCAAGAACCAGATGTCACTCCTTGATAGGCAACGCTCAACGATTATGTCCGTTGGTGGGATCTCGACACAGGGTTGTAAGTGGACCGACCCCTAAATTGCATTGCTGATCCTTAAAGAAGTACCTTCTAGCCCAAACAGAGCGGCCTCCGTGACACGAAGACTTTAGATTCCAACAGGAAGGCACTGAGATTCTCAGAATGTTGGGATGGCCGAGTGGTTGAGAGTGTTATCTCATGCCTGCATTCTAAACCACGGGTTCGACCCTTGCCGAGACACAAACCATGCCTTGCAAAATTACAAAATAGTTAGGTTTACTCTAAACAACGTTTGTTGCAAAGTTAAAGTTAGTATAAAGGTAAAGGGATAATTCCCTGATTCGATTCGTCTCCGTATGAGAAGAAATCAGATGGCTCGCTCGCATCCCATTTTGACGACTTTTCTCGTCTGATGACTTGTTCCCTTCCATTTCTCCTATCCTTTCACTTCAAGTATCGTTACTTCGAATACTCTAGATCTATACAAGGGTCAATGTATGGAGTGGAAGGAAGCTAACACTGTTCCATAGAACCGGCGAACGGGATGATGGAAATTGGCAGAACGGCTTCACTAGTGGTCGCTAATTGGTCAACGTTACTTGTAAAAATTTGCGCAAAAAAACTAGAAAGCAATTACTTTGCTATCATAAGGTTTCCAGTTTCTCTATGTCGCTTGTTTCCCTTCGGAACACGCGCGCGCGTAAACAGTACGCGCACGTGTCACCACGTATAGGTCACCAATCGATAATGTGCGACATCTCTCGAACATTCCTTGGGCGTATTGCGATCCCATGTGAGCAACGGAGTAATCAAGAAGTCACGGAAGCGGGAACTGTCAAGGAAAATCAGAGTTGTTTCGTCACGACATCAGTTAACAACGGAAATGCTTCGCTATTCGTCGTCGCACGTAAACATCCCATGAGGCGATAATTGAGAACACGAACAGGACCAATTAGTGGAGCAAAACGCGCCGAAAGCAAAACACCGAATCGCAGCGCCCGTGCGCACGTTTAAGTTGCACAGATAGCCCATTATATATAACAAGGGTTGAGCAGAAAATTGAGAACACTTGGCACGATTACTCCTGACTTCAATCATCAATTTCAATTTTCGGCTTTTGATCGATCATACGGAGCGTCCTCAACTCAAAACCTTGCGGGTTAAAACCTGCACTTCATCATGATGAGAAATTGCAACGGCACTAAGTAAAGTACCAATTCATTTCAAGTGTGCCCATGCAGTATTCCCTGAATCCTCTGACGAACTCTTCGGGCTCTGCTGTTGCACTTCCAGAATCATGAATAAGCCCGAGTTCAAGGATCGAGGGTCAAACTGTTCTTCATTCCTCCCGAAACTGGGCAAAACTGGAATAATTCGTCATTCATGGGAACTTCCCTAGCCCATGAATGTGGACATGAAAACCCAAGGATTAACTGGGGTGTCAAGCAGCCTGGCACAGCCAGGTATACGAAAGCGGCAAAATGAAACGTTGTTTTTCTATCAGGCGCAGACACATTATGAAAGGGTTTTGACATGTCATGCTTCATAGTACCAGCTGACAACTCTTCGGATGATTGAGTATAAAAGCTGAGAATTCATAGACTCTTTGACTGTTCGTGACGTGACAAAGGTGAGAAGCTAAAACTTTCTCCGAATAAAATTGATCCATCATATTGGTTGTAGCTCTAAAAGCGCTTTGACAAACACCCCACACATTATGCCAACATTCACTAAAAATCGAATTTGAACAACTGGAAATAATCGAACACAAAGGATCAAGCACCGCTACCATTCCAGATCTGCACTGTACTAATTTTCCTATTACAAATCATTTGCCTGTACTCACGGGCTGCTAGCGGACGATGAGGAACACGTGTCGGACTCCCGTACTGATGACCATTTCTGAACTCGCCGATGAGGATTCGGTGGCAATGGGACGCTGATCTTACGTCGTACATCCATTGTTGGTTCAAGAAGACGTCACTAGTCAAAGCTGACGAGAAGCAGACGGGCCATCAGAAGCCATAGATGACGTTGACAACGACGTCGGGGAATCGACAATGGCAATGACGCCGAAGTAAGCAGTCCATAGCGAGTTTCTAAGCGCGATTTCTAATGCGTGGTGGTTCCGCCCCTGGTCCCCCACACACCCGCACGCTCACACACATATATACACACAGAAGCGAAACCACGCTGTATACTAGTACTATATGTAGTGCTTCATAAAAATACAGCTAGCTATTCATCTGATCGATATTCAGCGAGAATTGATGCTGGAATGAAGAAAGAAGGTAAGGGACAGAAAAGGGGGAAGGATGGTGTAGGAGGGGGGGGGAAAGGAGGAGAAGAGAGCCCGAACCTCAGCAAACTCGTCAATCATCAGTGCAAAAACGTACAAGAATCTTCTCTTGTTCTCTTCTTCCGGATGAGCATGAACTCTCCGATTAGTCTTGTCGGCAGCTCCTTTCGGTGAAAAAGTGAATGATGCTGCTCGACGGACTCCCTCTTTCTCCTTTTTCTGTTCCTAAAATACAATTTTTCACACTTACTACAATCCTTTGGGAAAGAAGCACGTACCACAGGGCTGGAAAGATCCACACACTTGTGGACGTTATAATTGGCGTCTGGCGACAGAAAGTCTTGAGTTGGTGCCCGTCGACGTTCATGTATCGGAAGACCGCTACCATCCGAAGTGTTTTCACCTAGAACTCATTTCAATAAAGTAACCTAATTAATATTTCATATTTCGAAATGAAGAAAAAACATTTACATACAGGGGTAATCTCCGTCGATTTCAATGAATTCACGTAAATATTCGCCACCAAATGAACCATTTGGTGATCGTGAAGTCGACTGGGTAGCTTTTGAATGGGAAATCAAAGTCGGTGATGAGAAACGACGTCGCCATGGTTCCGCCACAACCGTGACGACCGCTACGACTTCCATGGTCACCAAGAAGATTGTGTCGTTTGTAATACTTCACCCGAATTACCAAAAAATATCATAGGACGGGTAAACGGTGGTACGATATGCGAGAGTAACATGTTCCGTGAAATGCTAGTAACACTTAGAAAGGTCAAGAACTTGTAATAAGAGTAGTAAAAAAGTTGCAAGGAAGGGCAGAATTAGATCAAACGAAAGCTATAAAGGATGATTACGATATGATGACTGATTGGATGAACACCGTTTGCATGGGCACGGGCCGATGCGTGTACACACCCTCCAAGAACTGAATCGCCTTATCTTCTCTGGCAACTGTGGCGAAAATGGCGAGCGGAAGTGGGCGCAATGTAGAGAATAAGAGACACGAAATAATGACGAGATATTCATGGAAAGTCTCGGAAAAACGGAAAATATCTTTGTTGTTCAGAAACAAGGGAGTGAAAACCGAGCTGATGCTACGGCGAGGTCGAGCTTACTGACAACGAGTCGGTCTCCTCAAGGGCAACATTGAAATGACTGGCATATCTGTCGGACCATTGCTGACAACCTAACAACTGATATTTCTTCTTGTCACTCAGTTTCGTTTTTCCAGGTCAAAGAGTAACGTTGTGCAAGACAAGCTAGGCTATAACGCCTGTGATTAACCAACTACTCTACCATTGGAATTATTGAAGTGCTATTTCTACTACTTTCAAATCAGAATCTATAGCGAGGCACCACTAGATAGTAAGAAAAACCAAGATGTTCCAGAAAAAAAACCATTCAGGAACACCGGAACTTGCGACGACCAGCACACGAACGACGACCATGAAAGAATCAGTTCGAAATAGTGAAGATTGCCAACTAATGCCAGATAATCCAGGCAATCAACGAGTCGACGATGAGAAGCCCTTTGATAACATCGAGAGCTGAGAAACAAATGGAACCGTCAGAGACCCTTAAGACAGCCAGACAGCCATACATGACTGTACATGACTGCTTCAAAAAATCGCTTAGGATAGAAGTTGAAGTGGTAGGTAATAATCAACAAAGTTATCGGTAAACGTACTTATCGTGGTGATATCCGGTAGAGTGATACGATGTCCATGAGATCCCATCAAGAGATAATCAGAGTACGGTATCAGTTCAAGTGAAGTTCGTGACCCACGACTCATACACATATCTCGTGGTAGGCTTTTCCCTGTAAATAACCGTTAGATATAGGATTCAGGGACAAATCCGTTTTGGAAGGAAGAGATGATGGTCCTTACCCGAATCGTCAATCTTGTGCGATGGCAGGCTCGACCTCAGTGACCTTGGTGGCATCTGGAACGAGAATAGCTTATATCTATAAAGTAAGCTCACTAACAAGCGTCTATCAGCCTTTTGTGAGGAAATCTTTGTCACTTTCTCGTCGGATGAAACTTGCCCTTCAGCAGTGAATATGAAAAGGCTGTCAAAACGTTGAATCAGACAATATAAAGATATTGTAATCAATCAAAATAGAAGATATTCTAGATCCAAAGGAAATTGAAGAGCGCGACTGAACACGTATGCCATTACGATGGATTCAAACGCTTTCCTGAACGAACTGAACAGCAAGCAATTCAGCAGTCAACCATGGAAGACCATGGAAGTTCGTAGCTGCAGCTCTAATGAGAGCTTGAACCTCGCATGACGCGGTAGATTCAGCAGTAGATCAACAGAAGATGTATGCAAATAACTGACTGAAGAAAACATAAGAAAAATGAGCCACGAAACACCTGAAAATTGCAAAATCCAGTATGCATTCCAGGCCCAGTTATTTTCCGAAAGCGGAAATCGGAACACCAAATTAACTTGTTACACGTTTTTCACAGTAAAGCATGTTTTATGCCAGTAGCAGCTCGTATCACACCCTCTCTATGTAATCCCCTAATTACACGGACCCTTTGCAACAGCCAATGAGGTGAGAAACGTTAGTCCGGGTGTTTAAAAAAGAGATATGGGCTTGGATAGCACTGCACCATTTCTTACAAGGGAGGTCTTTCAGGTCGTGGCGCGCTTTCAGGAAATGGTTTGTTGCTTGTTGTAGGGGTCCATACAAGGATCACAAAAATGGGTTTCAAAAGTTGTTAGTGTATCCCCTTTTACACCAGACTTGACTCGCACTCGGCTCACAGCACAAGTGGCATAAAGAGCTTGTCTTTCCAAAACCAGAAATAAATCCAAAGGGGATGACAAAATGAGAGCAATCAGCAAGAAGTTACAGTATGAAGTATGAAGCAATCGATTTGCTGAAAGGCACATTTTTCCCTGCAAGTGCCTCAATCCTCAAAAATCAAACTAGATTTCGACTAAAGTTCTTCCCGGGAGTGGGTTCCGCTGTGAATTTTCCATCGAAGGGAGTTTGGAACCTGAAGACAAATATCACCAGCATTTAACTTGAAATCGTCTGGCGCCAGTGCCACAGGTGCAGATGCCCACATATTAAGACATTCGAGGCAAAGGCAATTTCGCCCAGAACTCACGTTCGTTGTTGTTTTTGGCTTATTTTACATTTTTTCTTCGTACTGATGTGTTAATTGTGTAAATGTATGCTAGTAGAATATAATCAGTCGCAAAAAGAACAAAAAAATATGCGCGTGTTTTCGCAGAACGAATGACCGAAAACAGGGGTTTCCGCGTGTACTGCCGGGAGTACATGCCGCCTCGAACGTGTTAAACTTGCTGAAAACTTGTCCCTGGGGTAGTTCGACTTCCGGAGCACGAACATCATATCCGCCTGGCGCGAAAAGATGGAAGGATAAAGTCTTTGAAATCAAGCAATTCTTTGTGGTACGCATTCTACCACCATTCAGAATCGTGGGGCTTATTAAATGCTATGTGGCCTATAAACGACATGCCAGGGCCAGCCGATGAACAAGGTGTTCGCGTCTTTTCAGACGAATCTCGCCCCAATTCACTGTCACCAGAGAATAGAAGACTTTTCCGGCCTGGGCATCCGACGGATGGCGTGCGCGATACACGTGCTATTTGCTACTACACCACCTCCGCCCTTGGCGCGGAAACACCCGGTATGTGTTACGAGCGCTGGCATAAAACTGACCTGACTTTCAGTGTCTCCGCCACGCACGTTGGCTTCTAAAGAGGTTTGATATTCATATTCGAAGGGTCAAACTGTCCCTTATATCGAAATTCACCCCGTAAGGAGAATGTGGACCGGAATGCGGGTCTATTTTCTAGAAGTGGGGCAGAAAAGGGGAAATGGTGTCGTCACAGTCGGAAAAGAGCGAGATACAAAAATCATATCAACTGTTCAGTTAAGTAGAAACGATTCTGAAACTATACTGACGAACTTGAGTCTAATGAGCACGAGTACTTAAAGTTACTCGGGATAAACGACAACGAGCTCGACAATATTTGGACCACAAAAGGCATCAAGCTCCCACAAAGAAAAGTGCGAACATTTAAATGGACATACATTCAATACAATGATTGGAACCCATGGAGATGAATTGCCTTTACAAACAGCTATACCACCAACTCGTTGACCTGTGAGTGACACTACTTCAAAGCTGAGAATGTGAACTGTGCAGGCGTCAAGCATTGAGCCACTGCACTGTGCACGCTACTATACAGCAGCAACAATGTTGAGAGAACCAGAAGCTGTGTAAGTCCTCAAGGTGAATTGTCTGAGAATCTCTCGCCTCTAGTAACAGGTCAGAAAGACGACATGACCGGTAGTCCAAGTAGGTTCTGCAGCGACTGCCCACATACGATTAGCTGTCTACCATGAAGGAAACTAGTGCCTCGATAGCTGGAATTTCTTAGGTTATGGACACGCTTTCAATGGGATAGGGCCAGTAATCCCGCCGAAGCGGCTTATTGTTTCGCAATGCTTGCTGACAACAGTGTAAGGGGCTGCATTGGCAAACTGGCGAGTAAATAAAACAACGCCACATGTCCCATCCAATTTGGGACAACATCTTAATTGGGTAATCCAAGAAAAGCACGTCATACACGCAGGGACAAGTCGACTCTGACACGAAATCATTCGAGAATTAGCCCATTTCGTTATTGAAAATGATTGAGGCGGGAAATGATTATCGATCGCGGGGCACATCGTTGTTGGGGAATCCCCAATAGGGTGGTCGTATTTGGTGGCCAGGAGGGGGTCGTATTTGGGCTGAGAAAAATTTATTTTGATAGTTGATTTTTCTCGCTTCATGGACGTTGTAAAGGGAGGGGGGGGGGTCGTACCAACTCCCAAAAAAGGGGGTCGTATAGAGTCGACTAAAATCCCCAACCAATGATGTGCCCTGAACGATCACCGCAAAACGCGCGACTTCCTTAACTATTACGCGGGTTACAGAGCTTCTTTCAACCGGGCATGGTCTCGCTCTGAAGGTCCAGAAGTATTTCCTCATTGTATCTACCGGTCCAGCAGTTAAAGGGAGAAGGAAAAGAAAGAAAGAAGAGGGAAGGAAGAAAAAAGTAAAGAAAGAGGGAGCAGGGAGGCTTCGCGCTTGACAATTATCCCGATTGAAAGCGTCACTACAACACGTGAAAACGATCACTGATTCGAGCACACTGGTTTTTCAATAAATGGACTTAGGTTTCATATATTTGTTAAAGAGTCACGGGGAGGAGGTGGTATTTCAGGTTGTGGCCCGCTTTTTTGAAAATATTCGTTTCATGTTGCAGGGGTGGGGGATTTTGATGGACCACAAAAAGTAGGTCGTTCTCCCTGCGCGCTCCTGGAGTGCCAAGTAGGAGTGAAAGAAGTGGGGGCTGTGATAGTTCATGAAGATCTCGGTGATAGAAAAGGATGATCGTTTTTTTCAAACAGGATGATCGGGTGTTCTTTTAACATCTCTTCATTTCAACAATGATGCCATCCTGAGAATGATACAATTGGTGAGAAAAGTGCCGTGGCAGCGCTCCAAGCCACCCCCCGACACAAGCCCACCGGTGGGAAATCGTCTGCAGGGATCATTATTGTACACAAACAAATAAAGGAGAATATAATTGCAGGAGAGAGAATTTTGGCCGCCATGGAGATTCGAACGAACGACCACTGTTGGCTACTTCAGCATTCCCAGAACCCGTGCAGGGAAAATAAACTTAATTTCTGTAGTCCACGCGTATCCCGCAATATGGAACTCCTTCCTCTTCCCTAGTGAAGGAAATGTCACGAAACCAGAACAAATGAGGTTCATTCGCTCTATGGGGATAAAAAAAAACAGGAAGAGGAGAACAAAAGAGCTTTGCTACAGTTCTTGAGCCTGTGTTGTTCCCAGCACAAATCAATCTATAAGATATGGAGAACAGCTGAAGTAGGCAATCTTTCAACGACTGGATGACTCCTTAATATGCACTTTGACAATAAATAATTTTGTTTCTAGGTATCGGAGTACTTGTAAGATAGGAGATGAGTATGGAGAGGTGAAGAATAATTGTGATCGAAGAAAATGGCGACATTTTCGGGCGCGTAAATTCCATGTGGTAACCATATCAATCATCCCAAAAATACAAATCGGAATCGGGTGGACGTTTTCTTAATCGATTCATTGTCCTTTGAGTGGACAAAAAACGACAAAAAGGGTCACACAAATTCCAGAGGAATACCATAACGAACCAATGTGGAGGCAGAACTGTAAAGTATCAAGTGGAAAGCGTTTCGAAGACTGTGCTGAAATTTGAGATCGAGCTGTGACAGCCGATAAAGTGAGACAAGCAGTAAACGCTAGCAATGCGAGGGCAAAAAACCCAATAAGCTGTTTTTTGGAATAGCAAAAATAGGCGGATATAATGTAACCAGTCGCCTCGCCGGCTGACGCCGGCGCGGCTCCTCTGATACGGCCCGGCTGCGCCGGGCGGCGCCGGCTTCGCCGTATCGCGTGCTGTTTTTTCACATATTTCAAAATGCAAACTGATTCCCTTTTGTTCCTGCTACTTCTAACTTTTTCGGATTCTGAAAGCACTCTTTGAGCTATTTTACAGATTCTTCGTCTGACTCCGCCCACCTCGGAGGCCCCGCCCACAATGTTTGTGCCCCACAATCCTCACCGGCGACCCTCTGCTGACCTTAATCCACTTTTTCCGGTCTTCGGAGTGCTCTGGAACCGTTTTACAGACCTTTTTGTCTGGCTCCGCCCACCTCGGAGCAGGCTCCGCCCACAATGTTTTTGCCCCACAATCCTCACCGGCGACCCTCTGCTGACCTTAATCCACTTTTTTTCCGGTCTTTGAAGTGCTCTGGGACAGTTTTAGGAATTTTCGTCTGGCTCCGCCCACCTCGGAGCAGGCTCCGCCCACAATGTTTTTGCCCCACAATCCTCACC